TCAAATTCTGGTTATACATATTAAAATAAAATCCATATAGGTACTACAAAAAATATTCTTGAAGGTCGAATGACGTATTAAGCAATTTTAGCATTAAAAAGAGAATAAAATTAAAATGTCAGATAGGTTTAAGTTTTGACTAATTAATAACAAACAGTTAAAGTTAAAAATATTTTTGAGTTTTCGCGCTATCAACGAAATTCTCATCTTGGCTACATATAATTTAAGTAATTTTATTTCCTTATCAAAATCAGATCAGTGTTATCCCATATCACAGAACTTCGTCCTTACCCATATCCATTAAAGAGCAAACAGGAAAATATTTCCTCACAGGTTTCCCAACTTCGGGTTTAAAGAAAATATATTGGTTGCAACAAACAGAGACAAAAAATTACACTACACATTGCAACATTAATATATTATTTAATAAAAAAAAGTAGATTGATGTATTTTCTAATTACCCCATAGATTAGTAAATGATCTTTCAATGTCTGCAAATTGCTGATTTTTGTTGGGGGATGGAGTTTTAAACGTAGTAGTAATGCAGAAGCTAGTTCGATAGCCATTTAGCCCTGCTTGCGTAATACCTGTTTTCTTTGTTGCTTTGTTAATATTTATAAAGGCTTTTGCATGAACAGGTATATAGATTTTTATTTAACATCTTATATACAATTTTCTGAATTAGTTAGGAAACTTCACAAAAACGTGACATTCGTTTAACATTGGATTTTAAATTAGCATAATATTTCTGTAAATTTAGTTTCTTATTCAGACACCTTGATTAATACGAGTTTAATATTTGCGTTTGAAAACATAAGCGTGTTTGTATAATAATAAATCTCTTATGAAGCACACTTGAATAATCAATAGTTAATCGATTGTTAAGCCAGTGTTAAACGTTAGTCAATGTTCTTGAAACCGATTATAATTAAACTACTCTTTTTGTGACACCCATAATATCTTGTCCAAGGTCATTAAACATCGCGGTAGTACCCTATTTAAGCACTTTTCCACGATGGATGCAAGACTTGGCCAATTGAGTTTACGTAGTTGAAGTCAAATCAATGCAGAACAATGAGAGTTTGATTTATATGTATCTCACGCCATGGGAAGGTGCTTACATTTTGTTGTGTGAGGGAAAAATGTCAAAATGCTTATATTAATAGGATAAAGTAATGTTCTGTAACATTTTGGAATGGTCAAAATCAAAAATGACCTTAAACCAAAAATTAAGTCTCAATGTAAAGTAAGAATCTAAATTTTATTTTTCATCTATTGTGGATTTTCAGAATTGAATTCTTCTTCAATAATACTCCAAAGGGTATGGATAGTTATTCAGTGTCAACTCTCCTACTGAAACATATGTTAAATAAATTCAGAGCTATATAGAACATCAAAAAATAAAGAATTCCTCTGAACATTGAAGATTACTTTTTTAAATAAAATGTTAGCCATATCTTCCCAAAAAAAAATGTAATACATTAAAATTTGGTACAGATAAGTTTTTGATGGTAAATACGTCAGTGTTGTTAGTTGCTAATCACGACCTTTACCTCTGACATTTTATCACATAGCTTTTTTGAGATTATTTATAGTTTGTGTATATTATGCATACAATTTTAATTTTGCAAAAAAATGATACTCTTGTTGAAATCCCTAGAAATGCACCACTGTTAAAAAACTTGTTTGAATATTCCTAAGTCAAACAACTATTTTTTAGTATACAAAGTTTCCAAAAACGAATATGCAATAAACGAATATGCAGTACCTCAAATATAACTTGTTTGGATGAAAATAATTTTATTTAGATCAAGTTAGTTTGTACAATTTTGCTTTCTAAAAAAATTGTTTCATTTGTTTTTAATTACAGTTTAAGTAACCAGTACCTTCTAAGTTGACTTTATAAGAAAGTAAAACTTTATAAAGGTAATTCAAATCGGTTTATTTTCGTCCAAAAAAGTTACTCCTGAAGTATGACCTATTCATTTCCGAATACTTTGTATATTGAAAGTAGAAACTGGTTTACTATGGATGCATTGTGTTTTTCTCGAAAATGTTGCATTTTCAGCAACAAGAGCACTTTTTACGTAAAATTAAATTATTCGCTTTAAAAAAATATGACCTCAGAAATGCTATGTCAACAAATATCACTGGGAAAGGGCGTAGATAACGACTTCTAACGGATGGTCAATAACTTAAAATGCTCTCAAACCGACTGTCATTACAATACACTGTTTTTCGAAAAGAAATATAACTATAATTTGGCTACGGAGATTCATATTTGACCATCTCAGGAGCAAACAAGGATAAGAAAAATCTTTTTTTTGTCCCATCAGCCTCTGAATTAGTTACCTTTTATCAAAACATGCTAGACAGGGGATATTATACAATAATTCATTAAGAAATTACAAGTAATGAGCTGGAAATATGTATACAAGAGAATTTCCCATACAACAGCAACTTATTTGAGGCAAACTGTCCAGTATTTTTTTAAATTTTATCACCCTGTAAGTTCATATGAGGAGCCTATTGATTTTTAAAAATTCTATCACGAACTCCCGGATCCTACGATAAATCTGCCTCACCGTGTATTTCTAATAACAATGCGAGACAGTATTTCTATAGAAACTTTTCGGTTGCAAGAGTAAAGCAATAATGTGCCAATCTATACATTAAATTTTGGAAGAGTTTGAATATAAGTATATCTTCTTTCCATTATTGACGATTATTTCTGCCCGCATTTAAACAAACAGACGCATTAGAAAAAATTGTCATCAGTATTTCCATAAATATGTATTTACAGAACGAGTATAACTATCTCATATATCAGTTGTCATGTTCTAATGTTCGCCATGGAAGGGGAAATATTGACGCTTCCAAAATGTTTTTTACATTACTTTATACATTCTTATAGTTTATTTTCATTCCCCACTCTTTAAAACCTTACAAGACCCTGTACATTTTCTATAAAGAAAAGTTCAACTAATTTTGATAGGTGCTTAAACCTTTCACATAAAGTATGCAGATTTTTTATTGCATTAACTAATATTATAAATATTTAATATAATTTATTTTTAGTGAATATATTAAAAATATATATATATTATGCAAACATAACACTTGACATGTTATAACTAAGTATAACTCTAATTTATTTTTCTGTATCCACACTGTATAGCAAAAAAAGCAAATAATACTTCTAATATCATTAATCTCATTTGAACATGGCCTATTTTAACAACAAAATTCTTATTTCTTGAATTAGTTTGATCTTACTTGAAAAACTGAAAGAGATTGCTAGCCTAATAAAGAAAATTTCTAAAGTTAGATAAGTTTTAAATGCATATAAATTTAAAATAATTATACAGGGTGTTTTTTATGTTGCAGTTTGCCTTTTAATACAACATATAACTCAATAAAATAAGCAACATTTCCAAGGAACATTTTTTTCTAAATTTCAAAGTTAAAGATAATCAAAAACTAACCTTGTAATTTAGATAAATCCGGATCTGTCTAAATATACTCAAAATTGTCAACAATAGATTCGTTCTCTCAAGTTGTCTACGTTTTCCTCGAATTACTTCCACGACATCTACGCATTGGCGTAATTCTTCCACTACCTTGACTTCATTCTTATACATCAAACTTTTCATATACCAGGTTTGATCAAAAATAGCAAACTGTGCGTTTGCTATTTTGCCTTTATCTCATCTACTGTTGAAAAACGTTGTCATGCCCGGAGAATGGGGTGGTTTCGACATCACAATGATGCCGAGAGTTGGACAAGCAAAACGACATGCGCCGGTACGTTATCGTGAAGTACAATCCTCGTGTCCTTGTCATTTTCTCCTGATTGCCTCACGCAAATTGCGCAAAACTTTTAGGTAGTATTTCTGGTTAACTGTACGACCGGGCTGTAAAAATTCGTGATAAATTATTTCATTGCAGTCGGAGAAAACGGTATGAAGAACCTGCGACATTTTCCAACATTTGTGTCAATATTAAACTCGTGGCTGTATATAGTAACGGCACCAAAAGCCTTCTTTGACATTTTGAATGCTTCACTGCAGTTAATTTCTTTTTTAACACAAAATATCGGACAAGCTCTCTGATCCGACATTCGCCACACAAAAATATCGCTAAAAACATTGAGATAAGTCTTACTCATTCGCTCGCTAAACATAAAACAAAACTAAGAGAGGCAGCTACCTAAAAACTGGCAAGTGCGTCACTGACAGTATTACCAATGCACAAAAAAAAATTCAACTCGATAGACAATTTGGAAATTTCTGTTACTTTTTTAACTGATAGTTATTTAGATAGTACCAATAATAATACCGCAGCAATAAATTCGTTATATTGTAAACACGAGACACAAACGGAAAAAATTTAGAAACTGATGAAAACTGGTATCACTACCGCTTTTATAAAATGTCGTGCATAACTTCCCATTATAAGATAAACGGCGATAAAGAAAGGTAATTGCTTTGCTGTGAATGATTAATTATTCCATTTTGGACTTTCAATTTCTAATGAAAGAAATAAATATTAGGTATAGATTTTTCGAATTATTTTAGATGTAAATTCCGTAATTTTTAGGATTTTAAAAAAAATAATCCTAAATGGTACCAAAAAGTAAACTCCAACTTAAAATAATACCCTGTTTAAATATTTATTTCGCTTTTATAATTATTATTAATCATGTAACAATTAATTAGTCAATTGTAAAGTAACAAATTACTTAGAAATCTGAAATGCAAACAAAGAAAATTTTTATCCACAAACCCAAACTTGTACACGCAAAAAATATATTTTCCGTTGAATTCTGTTATTGGAATTTTTCAGGCAACCTGGGATAATTTGCATGAAAGGAGTTGCCATAAAATTATTTCACATATTAAAAAGTTCAGACACACTTGACATCTGTAGAAAAATTATAGTTAGTCTTTAAAGTTGTGCATTTTTAAGTGTGATAGACTAACATAACATATTTTTATTAGGTTATGCTTCACGAAACTCAAACTTCTCCTGCTAGCTATCGAAGTGAAGGGAATTGAAGGAGCGGATACGAAAATTTCAATCAACCCACGAGGTGCAAAGATCGTCGCTAATACTCAGGGATTCTTCATAGCACAGTCAGCAGATGAAGTGAAAAGGTAAAATATTTTATATTACAAGCTGAGTCAGTAATTGAGTCATAAAATTAAGCACGAAATGTAACAAAAATATTGAAAAGCCGCTTCTGAAGTGACAGCTTTTTGAAATAAGGTCCTGTGAATATCTGCCACGCTTTAGACGATGACAGTCCGCAAGCTGATGATTAATGAGTGTCAGCGCCTGTGTTCCTTTTTTGCTTCTTTTTGCCCCTGCCGCAGCATAGATTTTTTAATTGTGCCTTCAGCTCAACAGGAACATGAGTTGTTTAAGTTCAGGAGGTGAGTAGTGAGATTTTGATCCCGCCCTCAGTTGCGCACTGGACATTTCACACATAAACGCATTCCTTTTGACCTGACCGTCAGGTGTCAACATACTGATGGATAGCGCGCTGACCGTTAACGCTTATATGTGCCTTAACGTTGCATTTCTAAAAGACTTGGCGTTAAATATAAAACTAAATAAATACACTTTTTTCTATACCTATGTAACTTTTTAATTCGGGCAAAAGTTGTTGAATGTTACAACTAGAAACAATTTGTACAGTGCTTCTAGAATATATACAGTTCAGATAGCGTTATCCTGCATCATACCATGTTTAATTGTTTACACCAGCATCTTAGTGGAACCGGGAGTTAAAAAAACATACCCCTAAAAATGAACCGTCAAACAGTTGCTCCTCAAATGGCAAAGCAAGTGCTTAACGAAATCAAACCATATAGCACTAGGAAGCTTGTTCACATTAGATATTAGCCACTCAACAGTTTGGAGGATTCTTCAAAGATATTTTTTAACCTTTATCATACTTAGCGTGTATAAGCACTTTTACCAAATGATTGTCCAAATAGAATGGTTTTGTGTCAATGGATGCAAGAAAGAATAGGGCAGAATCCCCGATTTTTTTTTTTTTTTCACAGATATTTTTTACTGATGAGACTAACTTCTCCAGCCAGGTATGCCATAAAGAATTTTTGTAACAATCACATATGGACTTTTGAGAATCAACATGTGGTATCAGAAAGTCATCATCAACGCTAATTTTCTCTTAATGTGTGGTTGGTAATTGTCAGACACTTTCTGATTGGCCAATTCTATCTTATGGGCAGGATCTAGATAAATTTATCGCAAATTTTGTAGAAGAGGATTTTGACAATACTGTTTGAAAAAGTCCCTAGTTTGTTAAACCAATAAATGCTGTTTATGCACAACGGAGCTCCAGCTCATTTCAGTTTGGTTGCTCGGCTATATTTAGATATTGCATATCCAAATCGTTGGATATGTAAACAAGAAGATAAAAAGAACCTTGGGTTCCACGATCCGCAGACTTAAATCCTCTCGATTTCTTTCTAACAAGTTAAACGATTGATTTAAATGACCGCAATTGAAAATTTGGAGGAATTACGGAATCGCCTTATACAAATCCTGGCATTTTTCAACGTAATCGCCAATTAATTCCTAGCGGGACAGAAGTTTGTAATGAAGTTGAAGGTCGACATTTCCAACAGTAAATTTATTTCATATTTCTTTAATAAAGTGTTCTAACTCCGATAGCAGATATTTTTCGAATTAAGTTCATATAGAAGACCACCCTTACTTTTTGGCAAGGAATGGAAGTTTTTCGCAATACTAAAGAAACACCACAACTATCTATCTTAAAACTACATTGGATTTGTGCTGAAAATTATTGTCCATATAGATATTCAGAATTAGGGGTGGTGTTCTAGATCATAAATTTCAGAAGTTGGAATATAAACCCCTTTTCATTTATTTGACTATATTTCTCATGCACACTCATTAACTCATTTTTTTAAAGATTATACAGCAGTTTTGCGCGACAGGGACTGTCATATTAGAAGCTACCCTCTGTTTCTAAAAATACACTTTTAAAATGTTACTAAAAGGAAACGATAAATAACATCACAGTTATACAGGGTGAGTCAGTTTTTTGTGGTAGGATTTTAACAGTTGATAGAGATTCATTTATTTTTTAATAAGAAATGTTCTTATAAACGTAGGTCTTAGAACGCTTCGTTTGTGAGATATAGGGTGTTGAATACACACTTTTTTTAAGAATTTTTCTTAATATCTCTAAAAGGCCAACAGATATTAAACTGAAATTTGGTTTTAATAATACATTAGTTATGTTGAATAAAACAAAGATATCTGTTATTCATTTCACCCAGCAGTGACGTGCCTGAGGTGGGTTACTGCCCCCTTTAAAAAAATAATTCGTACGCCCGTGGATTTTTCTGGAAAATAACATCATTTCTAAATTTTTTAATCAATTCTGAACAAAACAGCTCTCTTTCAATTTTTTATAAAATTAATTTATTTGGCATGAAACTGTTCCAACGATGCTGGTACCTAATAGGTGCACTTGTGAATTAATAAGAAAAATATGACGTAAAACAAAAACGATTGAACGAATAATAACAGTTGATAGAGAATCATTTTTTAAAAAGAAAAGTTCCTATAAACATAGGTCTTAAAACGCTTCGTTTGTGAGATATAGGGTGTCCGGAGTCTGTAAATGGCGCCGCAGACGAAAAATTTTCAAGGTCACGCATTTTCCTGGCACTTTTGAATTTCAATGAACAATCCATTTATACAGAAGATTTTTCACAAGAACGGTATAAATAAATTGGAATAAACTAAATATATTTTATTAAATTATTAAATATTGTTTATAGACAAAAAAGTCGTTTGTTAAATTTACCAACGATTCAACGAATTTTAATTTTCCTCGCCGTGTTATGATTTTTTCCTTATCTTTTTTATATACTCGTATATGTACATTATATTATATTCCGGGAGTTATACGTGCAAATCCGAAATCCGGGACCATACAGCTAATTCCCGGTACAATCACAGAAAATCTCAGTCATACCCAAGTGGCAATATGTCGTCAAGATCTGCACTAAAATTTATGAGTCCACGAAACACATCAGGGTTGTCCGAATTTTCTGTCTCGTCGTGTCCGCGAAGTGCTAATTCGAAAGCTCCGCAAAATTTTATGCAATCTATGATTTTAGATAATACATAACGATTTTTCGTTACCTGTTCATTGTATTATCCCAATATGCAGAATCTAACTGACTTCTTATGTTTATTTTACCTAATGACTTAAATTACTTAAATCTTTCACACTGTATATCCATGCTTTATCCCCAACGGAAAGTAAGCACGGAAAACAAAACAGTGTATTTTTTAAATCACACCCGCACACCCACTCTGCTTGTGTGTATACATTATTATTAAATTGTCTTTTATAACTTTTACTTCGGCTTGTTCCACTAACTTCAATATTTAATTGTGGTGTTGGCCCACCTAATTCTTTTATTTTTAGTTTATCCTCATAAGGCAGAGAACCAAATAAAGTTTTTTTTTAAACGAAACGCTATTCATTTTAATAACTATAATATCCGTAGACGCCTAAAGGAAAATATACACACGTGCCGCTTGCAGAAATAAACCACCACATACCACGTATGAAATATTACTGCATTTACTGCAGCAGTGGCTGTCGTTGTTGCAGCCACAAAAGCCCATATAAAAGTGTACTGGGTTACGTGCCTGATTAGCCAATAGAAACAAAGGACGCATCTAACTGTTCGCTGTGCACACATTTTGTATTTGAGGTTGCATATATTAAGGGGCGTAGCTCGCGTCGTAATAAATAATAATATAAGCTCCTAGATTTATTTTAGCACGAGTACATTTGGATTCTTTAAATATTTTGTTGATATTTAATATGATTAAATACATAAAATTTTATGTGTTCTGCAGCTCCGCAGCTCTTATGGTAAAACCGCCACTGCCAACAGATATTAAATTGAAATTTGGCATGAAAAAACAAACACAGTACTTAAAAAAAAGAACCAATTGACACACACGTTACACAATGTTCGCGTTCTTATGTCAACGTTATAACATTTATGACCGTTTGCACCGTAGGGTTTAATACAGGATTAAGTCTGATCTTGGATTAAAATATAAAATTTTGTTTGCACCTTTTCAAAGCTATGTATTGATCTAGGATTAATTTAAACCCTCAATTTTGACCGCTTAAACTTGGATTAATGAGAAAATATAAATTGACACTATTGACAGTACTTAGCTGCTAGTTATAATTTTTTTAAATAGGCATTTCTTCCTGAATATGAGTGAGTGGTGTTAAGACATCATTAAGAACTTTGAAATTCTGACTTTGATGTATTGGATGATTTTGATATTCACGAAATAGACTTTGGATTTCCTAGATATATTAGAAATGATCTATTTCATAATCTAGACAATATGACTTTCTTCCGCAGATTTAGGTTGACAAAAGAGACCACATTACATCTGCTAACTTTAATTGAAGAGGTGTTGGAATATCCAAGTGATATGTAAGTTTTACGAACATGTTGGCATGAACACGATGCAACTGGCAATCAGAATTTTGGAGTTATAAAAAGCTTTTATTCTTAACATGATTTGGTATTTCTGGGAATAATCGTGTATCTCCTATCCAACAATTGGTTCTATGCTTGTACTGGTCATTTGCCTGCTATTGCAGACTTTTCAAGAATGGACATATCAACAATGTCCAGAATAATTGTACGAGTATCAATTGCAATAGCTCGGCTTTATCAGAGATACATAAAAATGCCAAACCCAGAAGAAATAGTTAGTGTGCAACATGAGATCTATAAAATTGCATCATTTCCTAGAGTGTTAGGTGTCATTGATGGTACTCATATTAAAATTTTGGTTTGAGAATTTGACTTTGACATATTTTTTTTTCCGAACATAACTGAACATAAGTTAGCAGCATAATAAAAGCCTTAAACAGTATTCCTAAAGCCCAGTTAAATTTAATCTACAATCGGCAGTAAGTGGTGCAAAAGCTGATTATTAAAACCTAGTTTTAAAATTAAATCAAGTTCAGTTGAACTTGGCTTAAATTCTAAACGGTGCAAACGGGCATTAATCGTTTTTGATGATTTTCAAGGTACATCATATTTTTCTTATTACAAATGTATTACCAATATCGTTGGAACAGTTTCATGTCATATGAATTTAACCAAAAACCGTTAATTTTATAAAAAATTGTTCAGAATTGATTAAAAAATTTAGAAATGATGTTATTTTCCAGAAAAATCCACGGGCGTACGAATTATTTTTTTAAAGGGGGCAGTAACCCACCTCAGGCACGTCACTGGTGTGTGAAATGGATAACAGATATCTTTGTTTTATTCCCCATAACTAATGTGTTATTAATACCAAATTTCAGTTCAATATATGTTGGTCTTTTAGAGATATTAAGAAAAATTCTTAAAAAAAATTTGTTTTCAACACCCTATATCTCACAAACGAAGCGTTCTAAGACCTACGTTTATAGGAACTTTTCTTATTAAAAAATGATTCTCTATCAACTGTTAAAATCCTACTACAAAAAACTGACTCACCCTGTATGTTGCTCTGCATCAGCCCTTTTCAGTATTAAATGAGACTTCATCAGAAAAAGCCTAATTAAACTACAGCCTCATGAAAAAATATGTCACAAATTGATAAAAAATATTTTCTTAAATGTCATTTATTAGAACATTTTAACGCAATAGACAGATTATTTTTGAAATGTCAGATAAAGATAGTAGTAATATTTGTACAGGACGTTTTAAATTAGATGGGACAACATCGCTATCAAAGACAAAAATATGGTTAAAGTTAGACACAGTTGCATACTTTTGTGTCTAGTAATATTAGTTATAGTCTCGTTAAGATGTTATTTATTTGAAATCACCTTTTTTTCTCTCTGCAAACCCCATAAATTACAAATTTAAGGCACTACACCCCATATACCTTAATTTCTGTTCACTTCCCGGACGCATCTACAAAATTGAAACTGAACTGAAAACTATCATCTTTGAAGGAAAAGTTGATGTTAAACTTTTCGATCCAAACATCGCTAAACCACAGATTCCTAGGTAATCTGTGACTAAACCGTAACATTTGTTAGAATCGAAAGAAAATAAAAAATCCGTTACTTAGCTATCCATACGCAGACGGATAAACGTTTGATTTGATATTTCCAAGCCAGACCTTAAAACTTCATGTATATGCGAGTCGAGCCCCGAGGTCCATCAGGCTAGTTCATCGTACAATAAATCTGAGCGTCCCAATTTTTCGTTTATATGATAAACTGAGCCACAAGTCTCGCCGGACAGATTTCCAGTGGACATAAATAAATCTGTGACTCTCAGTCAGCGGACTTCATCTGTTGGAAACGAAAACATACATTTTTGAGTAATGTCTCACGGAAAATTCAAAGAGAAACTTTGACAACAAATTGTGAAACGCGAATATTATTGTTCTATTATTTTCAAAACAATAGGACACACATTCGATGCGCTTCCTGGCTGGAGATTATGAGATTAAGGAAAAAAGCCGAAAAAATGTAAAAACAATTGTCTTTTAAAAAAAGAAAATTTAAAAACTGGAGTAGTTCGAAATAAAAATAGTTAAAAAAAACTAAAATATTTTTTCAAATATATTTTCCACATACAGTGTGCCCGTTTTTCAGGTTAACACCTCTAGAAATGTGAAAAGGTTGTGAACTTTCCGCAAACTAATTTTTTTACAAATAGTACCCTGAAGGAAGGTTATATTCTACTAATCTTTTTATTAATGTGACAAAAGTCTGACCTACTACGATTTAAAAAAAAAGGGTAGGTTTTCTAGAAAGTGGTATTAAGCATTTTTTTAACAAAAAGATAATATCTCCAGGCTATCAACAACATCATCAAAACACCCATCAACACCCATCAAAATACCCATATACCAAATTTGATCGACAAATGTCTATTGAGTGTATTTTATGAGGCGCCAAACTTCGAAAAATAAGGCAACTAAAAATTATAATAAGCAGGTCAAAAATTGCTGTGAAAGTAAAAACAAGTACCAGTCGCGCAAAGAAAAAATACAGACACTATAAATTTAACACTTTTAATTGCGGCTACCACAGTAAGTAAAAGAATAACATATTTTAATAAAACATTAAAAAGAACATCTTAATTATTCATGAATAAACGACAAAAGAATGTCAAAATATCATTCTGCTTCCATATATCGATTTTTGGATATTTTTTTAAATTTATTGCAAAATTTAACGTGATAGAGTATTTTGAAGTTCAAATTCATGATCAGCGTCCCCAGAAACATGTAAGATCCCTACATGCGGGTGCCGATGAATTTAGGTTTGTGGTGCTGTATTGTCAGTATACTCAAAAATCGAGAAATAGGTCAAATTACAAAATTTCAACATAGGATTTCTCAAAGACGCAAAATTATATCGGGTTAAATCCAAGTCCGTTTTAAAGAGTAAGTATACTTTAAGAACCAGTAATGGTTTTAGCAAAAATTTTTACCTATTCATGTAACATAACCTCAATTATGCCAAAAAATCGAGATTTTGGCACTTTTAGGTTAGGATATGTCTAAAACCCGAGCCAATTGAGAAATTTGGACCTCGAATTCAGCGCACCAAAATCCTTCGAAAAAGTACATTCTGGTTTCTGGATAAGAGGGTCGGCCAAATTTTTTCGGCCTGCATTATTTTAAGCAAAAGTTTCATATGAACGTCCGCTTCGTTATTGAGATAGGTACATTGTGTTAACTATCAGATAAATATTTTCAAATAAAATTAAACAACACCGTAACAGATTACAGGCTCCTACAGGCAGGAGTTCTTCGCGGTAGTGTGTTGGGTCTCTATCTATATCATATATTTATGGCAGATATACGAACCTCTAGCGATACGACAATCGCCACATTTCCTGATTTTAAGGTCATTCTAACAATAGATCAAAATCTTCAAACAGCATATACAAAACTACAACATCTTCTTGCTAGATTGGCTCAACCAATGAAACATTAAAGTCAACAATGACAAGTCGACCCAAATCATCTTTATAACAAAGCAGTATCAGTCCTCAGGTCACATTAAATAATTTGTATCCACAAAAAACGAGGATCTACATCTGCACCAAAGGTTACCCGGCGCCTCCACCAAATATGTCAATATATTATTTTTCTCGGGCTACTCGCTTGGCTGCTAAGACGGTAGGAACAGAGAGACAAATCAATTAATTTTTACATTTTTATTACACAAAACATACTTACACCTCTGAGGTTGCTTTTCATGTGGAGGACAAAATGGTGAACTGGCTCCTGGCCATTGACTGGTTGTCAAAGTGACTCCGGACTGGCCCCGCTTTACAAAATGCTAAGTGCATTAGAATTAAACAACCGGTAGAACAATGACTGAATCAGTCCACCAGTTTATAGAGAGAGTAAGCGAGAATTTGCAACTGGACACTTTGCGTTGTTTTTAAATCTCTTGTGTAATACTGACATGTAATTGATTCCAATTATATTTATAAATTTTGTTCTATGAAATGAGTTAAATGAATAGAATTCGCACCGAAGGTATTTTTGTAAAAATCTACTAAAGAAATGTGTCCAAATAAAGTAATGCCATATGTCCATACATATTTATCTTCTCAAAGCTTTGACTATAGTTACAGGGTGATTATTTAAATATTGAATATTACTCTTCATCTATCTAAAATACTTATAGTTGACAATATGGAAAACACACAGCAAAGCCAAAAAAAAGCAATTTCTCCAATCCAAAACTTTCAGGATAATAACTAATGCTCCACGGTATATATTAAATGTACCCTACGTGAAGAGTTGAATTTATAAAAGATGTAATCACTAAAGACCACAAGATATGCAAAGAGCAATTGGGACCATCATAACCAGCTCGGTAACGAGTTTACCAATAGCTTCCTGGAAGAAGGTGAGAAAGAAGGAGATTTAAAAGACAATGGCTAGAAGATCTCATCGATTTATCATATTTACTTTTACTCTGTACAAATTGAGGAAATTGTAAACTAGCAGTGAGTTACAAAAAAAAATGTATATTACAACTGATAGTAGCTTTGTTTTCATTTAAATTCGAAACTACTGACTATAAATCAATCCCCGCCGATGCAAATACTCGACTACGAACTCAATATGTGTAATTAACTCACTCATCGTATCGCTGCTCTTAACGTGTTGCTCCCTACTTTCATTATTGCTTTGCTGTCTACTTAAGTATGTGCTTAGCTTTAGACACCTCGTCTATCGCAACTCCTTAGACGAAGACTTGGAATTACCTGGAATTTTTATAATACTTATCTGTAAAAACAACTTGACAGTCGCTCGAAAATTGTTCAACCATAAATAATGGCATTTTGGATATCAATTCGGAAAAATATTATACTCCATATTAAACAACTTTGCCCCCATTGCTCTGTCCACTGATAACTTCCAAAATAGCAATGTTCTCATATTCTATCTGAAACACTATATAATCATAACAAAAATAAAAGAATATTTTTGTTGCATATGATTGTTATTCTAATTTTGCTTAATTTATAGTATCATTAGTAAACATATGTATTTATACTTACACCTCAATACAGTGTTATTAAATTAGTTCACTGAAAGATGAAAGTAAACAGTTTTAATACAATTATTATAGTTTTATGTAGCAATTTTGAGAATTTCAGTTTTTAAATATGTGTTCGCTTTTCCAGGGCCTGGTTTTACTGCAAAGCTTGCCACGAAGAAATCAAAGACGAAACACTAATCAAGAAGTGCAAGTGCAAAAACTGTGAGTTTCTATCCTATTTACTGTCTATTTCCATATATTTATGTGCAGATGCAACAGAACTATGTGGTTAGATGTTGATATAATACTCATTCATTTCCACTTTCACGTGTTTTCGAATATCATTTAATATTTACAACACCTCTTATGACTACCCGACCTTTATTGATGCTTGGAAGCATCAGGCTTTCACCTGTGTCTGTTACACGAAAACATTGTGGCGAATAAATTCCAATATTTTTAATTTTATAAATATCATTTGTACTTATAAATAAAAAATTTGACAAAGTGCTTGTCCATTATAAACACATCTTAAGAAAAATTTAAATATTTTGTGGAATAGAACTTGTTTGTCTCTGTAAGAAGAAATTTCTAGGGCTGGTAGTATTGGTTAAAATAAAAGAAAAAATGAACTACTTAAAGTTTGAGGGATAAATTAAAATGTTGATAACTGTTTCACAACAGCTGTTAAAATATTGTAGATGCTATGAACAATATTTTTCAGACCCCTGTTAGACTCACATAGAATTCAATGGTTTTAAAATAAATAGTTTTTTTCAAAAATCTGCTTAAAAATTCAAAAAGTTTTTATAATTTTAAATAAAAAAAATTGTCCGTCTTCTAGTCTCAACAATATTTACGTGCTTTTGTGAAAGAAAAATTTATTGCAAGTCATAGAATACATATTCTTCTAAAATTTGGGTCCCTACATTAATTTCCTCAATACCAATACTGATGAGACTATAGATTTGAGCCCTACGGTCAGATAATTGAAGATCAGCTACAATCATAAAACAAAAATAGGCACTCTTTCTACTGGTATGGTAGGATTGACTTGGACCAAGTTAGATATTGATATCAGTCGATGTTTGTACATCTTCCATGAGGTTTTCCGGGTTTTCTCATTTCTGAAGTAGTAAGTAGTACGAATTATTAGATACGCCGTTCTTGGTCAAAAATATGACCTACAAAATCATAAGATGCCATACCTTCTCCCGCATCTTTGAGAATTACTTATTATGCATAATATATTAATAACATTAGAAATTTTTAAAATGAAATCAATTGTAAATAATTTAATATTTACACGTACCCCAATTCATCTCTGGTCTGGAAAATGACTACGTTTTTTCTTAAAATTGTCCAAATTTTCCCAATTTTCGTAAAGACTAAACTACTCGTTTCAAATCTATACGATTTTGTTTTAGCACCATCAAATGTAACACGATTTAATAGGGGTTTGAAAACTTCCAATAAAATTTTGTTAAAATTTGCCCTAACACTGCAGCTTCCCATAATGTATTTTAATGGGTACCTAAAGTAGGATCGTATTCGATGCAAAGTAGAGCAAAAAGTTGTCGGTCCTTTATCAAAGGAAAATCGTGTCATCATTTTTAGGAGGCGTAAGATGAACCATTTCAAATTTAAAATGAAATTCAATGTTAAATCTGAAATACCGCTGCATACGCACTGTGTTCTGGTAGTAGCTGTAGTCGCCCAGGTGCATCGAGTGTACGATGTGGTCGGTTATACGTCAAATACTAACCTGGCGAGCTTGATCGTAAAACAGAGAGCGCCTCCAAAAAACAAGTAAACAACAGTGGCGCGCACAGAGGTAAAATGTAGTACAATGTGGAAATTAAAAAACAAATTGGATTTATAATAAATTACATTTAAAATAAATAGTTTATGAGAATGAAGGAATTTTTGTAGGAACAAGGGTGTCAGACGTGAACTGATCCCTTAAAAGCGTACTGCATTGGTTCCCTTGACAGGCAATGATTTATTACTTTGCATCGAATATAATCCTACTATACGTTCATTCTTCTTTTATTTTGACGAGTATTACCGTTCATCGGAGTTTGTTATTTACATTCGTATGTATTTTATCCGCACAATGTTTGCAGACCGAATATTTAAGTATTTTTCTTTATACCTCAATTTAAAATGTTTATGGTGGCTTTTAGTGGCAGTTCAACAACGTAACTGGTCCCACGATCTAGGTAATTGATCTATATTGACTCTAGATCTGTCTAGATCTTGCCTGACAAAGGATCAGCTCGTTCTTCTTTTCTTAATAATTCCTAGTTTTTGTTTTGTTACTATGCATTTAAAATAAACACATTCCAATTCTTATATCTCACTTATCTTAGGGACTGCTATTGGTATGTGTAGTATAAATTATCAGAATTATTACCAATTTTCGTAGTTTCCCTTTTACTACTGGTTGCCCCAATTTTTTGCAATCTCAGGAATATCTGATTGGAAAAATTAGAAAATAATTTACAACAAAATTCTTATATTATTACCTGAGAAATAAACTCATTATTTTCTAATTTTAAATGGATATATCTCGATAGCAAAAATTTTAGGCAACTTGTATTATATACAATGCTGAGGATTTTGCCTGTGTAACGGAATGTATATTGACACACATTCTGTACCCTTTTGCACATTCTATGCATGGTTAGGCTCATTTTTCATAAGTGATAATATATAAAAATGTTCTAGTAAGTACCTATTAAATATAAAATTGTGCTAACCAATGTTCTAATTCATCACCTCGATGTACTTACCCTGGGCTGTCCTTAATATTTCAGAGGTTTGTTTTTTGTATTTAAATCCTCATATTATAGAAGGTATCTCCTACCTTCGATTTTAATTTTTAAATTTTTTATTTAATCAAAATCTTAAAACGACTTAGAAAATTTTTGTTTTGTTTTTTGGCTTTTTCCAGATGTTGGAATGATCTTGATGCAAACTGGCATGGTTAAACAGGGCCTAAACTACCAAAGATACTTGGATGGTAGGCCAACGTACATATAACATGCTTCACGATGCTACTTATTGTTATTCGATGTATTTTTGTTTCAGTGTAGGCCGTTCATAAGCAGGCTAATTCAGCTAATCACTGTTCTCACAAATTAATAACTACTAAATAGAGACCATTTTTTGAGATAAATCGTATTCATCTCTAAACACTGTCCTGTTTGGCATGTTTCCTAAACTAACATGAAGCTGCAATATGTTCCTCTCATCCCAAGGCTTTAAGATATCTAAAAATTATTAACACAAAAGTAACCAATCTACCTTTTTTTTCTATTGAAAATGAGACCTCTCGAACAAAAAACACCAGCGAATTATATTTTTTTAAGTATTATAAAAATTGTTTTAATTAATGAGTGTCGATTTATCTCATTAAATTCCCTTTCACACAGCTGAATCTTCAAAAACAATGATCCGGCACCGCTGAAATTCGCTTGTTAAGTTATGAAGTTAATGCTAGTTTCGACAGTCCACGTGCTTCAGTTTTTTAAGGTCATTTTTGAAGTTCCATTTATCTACAAGTTTTGGTTTTATCCTACTTTAATTTATTATTTATCGTTTATTCCCCACTCGTACTGAAAGCAATACATATACTAATACGACAGACTCCTTATTGCCCAGGGCTATATACCTATTTATTTTTAATGTAGATTTAGCTGAAAATAATATGGTGTGAATAAGCTTGATTAGAAAAGCGTCGGGAAAATAATATATTTGTTAATATTCACATTGATACTATCACCTATACTGATGTCCCTTAAGTCGTTCCCAAACTTCTTCATAGTCTTCCTTAGTAGAAAATTAACGGAATATGTTCAAATAAGCTAGGGGATCAATTCCGATTCCTTACGAAGATATAGCAGTTGAAAATGGCAATGGTTTTCTGGTTATTAATGATTCATATACACTGTTACATAGAGATGGGTTGTATGGAACCTTGTTCTTATAGCGATTTTGATTTAAAAAAAAATGTCGAATATTGTCTATTGGAAAACGCATGTCTAAAACCTATATCATGGAAAGGTGATGTTTGTAAATGCTAAAAAATGCATTCAATGAGTTGTAGATATATTGTTATCAATGTAGCTACGAAAAAGTGGATTTTGTGCAACCTGTATCAATATGAGATATTAATAACCAAAAACTTGTACCAAATTAGATACAATCCTTCAACTGGTTTAGCAGATATAATCTTCAAGCTGCTATATTTCATAAGGGATCGAAATTGAACCATACTTTATTCAGACCTTTTGAGTTAATTTTGCTTAAAGAATACCTTGTAGAATTTTGACAATCGCATTAAAGATTACATCCTGTGTAGACATATTGCTATCAACAGTAGTATAGATTAACCACATTTCTGTGACAGATACTATTATCAAATTTCTCTATACTACATCTATAAAATCTGCAAAACTAAAAATTCAATGTGACAATATTTTAGAGACATTATTAAAATATTAAATTAGGAACCAAAATGAGTTTAATTAAACTAAATACAAAAATTTACATATAAATATTGTGATAATATTATTAGTTTAAAAAAAATTTGACAATTATTAATCAGTTAAACAGGACAGTATATAATAATACACATCATTGTCATGAACCAACAATACTTTATTATTTTTTCCGCTTTTTGGTTTTATTCTAGATGCTCCAAATTGATTAACCCTCTGTTAGAATTGTATTATTTTTTCTTTCTATTAACTGCTGGATCATTAGAAATTCTTACTCCTTGACTAGAGATCTGAACCTGAATGTTAATAAAATTTATTTTACAGATTAATATCCAAATCAATATTTTTCTGGTTTTCTTTGGAACAATAAGAACCTCACTTTTATTTTACAGGCATTGAGGTATAGATCTCGTAACATATTCTAAAAAAACTTCACTTACATTCTTTTCCTCACTATTCTTCCTCCGCAGTTGATCAACACTGTAGTACTCATTAACAATCGCCTTTCCTCATTTTGCTGCAAGTTTTAAATGTTTTAAATCGTCCTTGTCTTGAAATCACAGATAATGTACAATAAATATCCCTTCAGGAGGATCCACATTAACATCTAAGTGATTAAAAGAATAGAAGATAGTGTAGACAAGCAAAATTAGAGCAGGATCTTTTCTACGCCAAATATTATTCTTTCTTACAACTCTATCTATCTGGATACATTTTGACTGCAATTTACTGCCTATATCTTTTTAATTTAGCAGTTTTGATCATTATAATTATTTATAGTTTCCTGATTTTCGAGTTTAATCTACTCTAGATTTTGCTCCTTCAATAGCACCTAATAGTTTAGATCCCATATTTATTTTTATACACGCAAATAAATAATTTAAAATTCATGATTATAGATAAAGAGGGGACAAAAATGATTAATTACTTACCTACAAAAATGTATTTGAATGTTCACACCATATTATTCCGAAATACCTATGTTAAGTGACTCAATGACAAAAATACCGCTAGGCTATAACTAGAAATCCCTTGCAAATTTTTGTTACCACTAACAATGATTTTTGTCTGGTTGGCTGAACAGTGGCTACATTCAGGAAAGGTGTGAGAGCCATCCAGTTGGTTGGCCGAGCAAGTACGTATTAGTCATTATCACTCTCACAGACACATCCTATCTTCACTTTATACACTTTTTAATCTCAAACTTATGTAAATATATTGATCAACGAAAAAAAAATGTATAATATAATGTTTTTAAAGCCGACATTTTGGCTGGGACGTCACTAATTTAAATTTTAAAACAACAGTTATATTACGACAATGAACAAATGTGGTAGTATATGGAATCACATTTTTCATGTAACAACCCCTATATTTTTGAGAGAACTAGTGAAATCAAACGAAATATTAATTCAAATATTCAAGTTTTTAGATTATTGTATCATATACAAATAATAATAATACTTGTCATAAAAATGTTTGTACAGTTTTTTTAATAGAATGATCCTAAAGTTCCATCATAAGCCATAAAAAAATATCAGTTAATGAAACTACTTAGACATTTCGGAATCGTTCTCTTATTCAAAAGAAACTTTGGACTTGGATATCAAGTCCTCTGCTCGGTATTTATGTTTGTTGTGTACCAGCTGCCGTAGAAAGGACCCCACACTATCTTTATGAAAATGTGGGCTCGGTCAAATTGGCTGAAATTATGTTAAGTTGTTGGTTTTATGTCTTCGTAGTACTTCGGTCCGAAAATCAATTCTTTCCTAGTTATAGGTAGTCAGTTCAGCTGATCCTAGCTGCAAAATAGTATGAGTAGAATATTGAAATAAAAACAGTAAATTTCTGAAATGTTTATAGAAAAAATTAATCAGATGACTTCGAAAAGTTACTAATTATCATTTTTGACATGTGCCAAATACGAAAGTGGAAGCTGTACCGGCCCCATCTCCGGTGCCCCACCACCTAAAAGATGGGGAAGGAGGAAGGAGAGAATAAACAGTATTATATTAAAACTTAGGTTACGCTGGCTCTGAAAGTAGTATCACATATTCTTTCAACCATAAGATTGATTATTGCATTATCAAATTCACTTATTGATACTTAGATATATTAGTGCATTTAAGAGAGAGATGTATGAATGCAACCATTGTATAAGTAAATACTTATACAATGATGCAACCTACAAACTACTGTTGCCAATGGTCAATGATTTAAGGATTAAAACTTAAGTTCAACTTCGGGGATAACTAACATCGTCAAGATAGACACATTTATTCATTAAAAATATTTAAAAATGATAAAACAATAAAATAATACATATCTACAATATTGCCTGTGACGTTGCCGTTCTTGACTTTTACGTATCGTTTACAAATTTCAGGTGGTTCCAAATCCCCATTTCGGTTGAAATTAATTCGATTCTTCTATCTTCTCTGTAGAGTTTTGGCCAAAGTCTTCTCTGCTTCACTAAAATATTGGCACTAGATCTACTGCGTGTCCTGTATCTGGTTTATGTTCTGCAACTACTGATTTTTATCCATTATTTTTTTAATAACATGTATATTCCTTTAACCTCGTGCTGTCTGTGTCCCTGTTTGTCCAATAAAGTTTGATTTTGTATTTTCTTGGATGTTTTGTCAGGATCTACGTTAAAATGTATACTACAGTTTTACGGAATTATAAATTGATGCCATGAAAATGAATGCAATCTTATGAACTTTTGCAACCAGCAAAATTGGTACACGGTTATTTCGGTGAACAAAAAATGATTCCACTTTTTATTTAAAAGAAAAGCTAATACGACTTCTTTTTATAATGGTGTAATCACCCATATATTCCTAGCCTTACTCATTATAACAACATACTAATTATGATTCAATGAGTTTAGAAAAGGTATGCTTTTGATTTCATCAGTTCTCTTACGATTACGGGAATTTTACATGGAAATTGAATTCACTAATTACCATTAAGATTTGGCAACAAAAAATATTTGTAAACCGTTAAACTACAACTATCCTGAGATGATATAAGTTTTTATTAGATAGTTCTGGTCAATTTTCGTAGAAATAAGTTCTTGCTAAAGTTTTTTCCTCCGTAACGTTATAGATCGACTGAATTTTTTTTAATCGAATCTTTTAATTACTGTTATTAATTTTCTCATACTTATATACTTATGATGACTTATATTTTGGTAATATATACTCTATGAGCAACTAATTCAAAATTCTAATTGTCCATGCCACGTGTCTCTGTTGAAAGGGCTTTGAAAACATATTTTTAATAATCTCATTGTACGTTTTCCTTCGAACGTGGTTGCCTTACGTGTATTTATCTGTATGTGTAGCACTTCTTCTTTATTCCAGTTCAATGAAAGTAACATGGGACTGATTACTCTGTACTTTTAGAAAAACATGCATTGAGATTGAGTGAACAAATGAATAGTTTATTTTTCCAACTCAACATGTTTAACTACTTGACTAAACTTACACAAGGCTTGAATTAATAATAGTTTTAT